CTCCTGTAAATAAATACTCACCTGCACCAGAGCTGCCGCCTTTTGGGTCCTTTCTACAACTCCACACGTCTGCCACACGGGACGTGACAGTTATAGTGTTTTGTGAAACACTATGAGTGGATTGAATGGTGGGATTTAAGCAATGAACAATAAAAATTCTAGATTTTGTTTAAAACACTGCAAAAAGAATATATTTTGCAAAAAGAATATATTTAATGGCGTAACTGAGCTAAAATGCTATGAATTTAATGAATTCTGGAATAGATTTGCTAAATAAAAAAGTCTATCTGAAGAACATAATATCAGTACGGTAGTATATGTTGCTTCCACGCCATGTATATGTATGCTATAACTGTGGACTGTATCCATACCATGTACACAGTGGTTCCCATACATTAAAAGATGGAATTAGCCACCCTAACATCAGTCACCGGTTTCTGGATTTTTTTCAAAACCACCATTTCAGCTTTTTTGTGCATTGCCATCTTGAGCTTTCTGAGCCCAATGTGACCATATTTAGACCAGTTTGTAGGATGCTAAGCAAACAGCTAACAGTGTCAGGCTTACATCCTAAAATGTATGGATACAATACATAAGAACCAAAGGGCAACAGTGAAAGCTAAAATAATGAAGCCAGTGTGGAGGTTGCAGAAACAGCACTTCATGTAGGTGTCACACATGAGGCTGGTTACAAAAAGGAGTTAATTCTCACTGACTCTCATGTTGAAATGCCCGATTTGACAGCGTTAAATTACATTCACACCCTGATACAAAATGCAGTTTTGACTTCTATGGATATTTTTCCTTTTCATTGGTTGTTCTCAGTCTACAGTTTATATTTTTCAGCTGTGAAATTTTCTGTATTTTTGTAATTGTAGCTAGGACTTTTATGCATTTTGAACGTTGTGTTTATTTGAGCTTTTATTTTAGTTTTTATCACTATCTTTGATTTCTTGAATTTTTTTAGTTGATTCCTGCCACTTCTGTGTTCTTTTATGTCTTGTTTCAAGTCTCCATTTTTGTTTTAGGTATTACTGCAATTCCGGTGTTGTTATTTGAGTCCTTTTGTCTCTTGTACTTGGCTTTTAGTTTTATTTCCTATGTAATTGTCTTGATTAATTTCAGTTCTGTCTTGTTACCCTCCTGTGTCCATTTCCCTTGATTACCTCAGTAACTATGTTGTTTGCCTTTCAGTGATGTGTTTGAGTTTGTATCTTATAGACCGCAATTTGTCAATCAAAGCAGCCACTACAGTACCATAAGACACCTGTGGTGGCATTGTGTGGTTTGGGGCTCAGCCGCAAGTGAGAGGTGGTGCAGTGGGTTCAAGGAGTAGTGTCAGGGGCAGCTAGCTGGCATAGTTGGCAGCCATCATTAACTAGGTCTCTCCTAGATTTATTCAGTAACATGCTGGAATGTAGGTGTGTGTGTGCACAGAGAAGGAAGACGTGGCCGGCGACTGAAGTGTGGGAGCTGTCCAACAAGCACTACAGTAACATTGTACAGCCAGAGAAAGAATTAAAATATTTGATTGGTCTTGATTGGATTCACAGTCAACTGTCCTCTCAACATCACATCTCCACATGTGCACTAAAGCACATGGACATACAGACACCCACACACACACACACACACACACACACACACACACACACACACACACACACATCATCATCATCATCATCAATCATCTCCTGCCTACTGACACTGCTGTGCTGTGTCTCTTACTTGAAGGGAAATTATGTGAAGCTGCTGAAGCTGGAAGTCAGAGGCTCAATTAAATGGTGTGACTGAATCCAGTGATGTCTGTTATCAAAGAGAGTCGATTATCATTATCATATGCATTAGTGTATCATTAATAGGAAGATGGTTGGTCAGTGTCAGTTTGAGATAATGAATCTACAAATCACTGTCAGACTGTACTGGGGGGGGGAGTTTTTTCATTGCTGCAGTACTGAAGATAAAAATCTGCTTGTATCGCTCTTTTAAAACCACCATTCCAAAAGAGTTGGGGTGTTGTGCAAAATGTAAATAAAAACATATTATATTATGTAGCGTATATAATGGAATATTCAAAGGCTTTGCAAATTTAAATCGAGGAGTATTATTCTGAAATTCATCTGTTGTTGGTTTTTTTGCAGATTAATAAGCCGCTGCCCATTTTTACTTCTGAGAAACTCTTTGAACTTTACTCATTTTATTCATGACATTATCAAAAGTCTCAGCTTAAAGATTTGATGCTTTCTGATGTTTATTCTGAATAAAATATGGGTTTATTGGATTTGCATCATGCAAGATAGCCTGGGACTAAATTCAGAGGTGTCAGAAATTTCAGATGGCCGTCTCACAGTGTTGCTTACTCTCGCAATGTGAGAGAAGGTAATATATTTAAAATGAAACTTTTGAATTCTGGCAAAGAAGAAAATCAATACCAAGCCTTGTTTGTGTGCTGTCTCCTCCAGCTTTTTTCATGACTTTAACAAGGCGGGTATAGAGTGGAAAGCAATAGCTGCAATACGTCATAGCCTGTGATTTTCGTGGTATTAACATGACCACAGTTACTAGATTCATGTAGCAGAAAATCTGCCTTCCAATAAACTATGAAATTTCACAGTGTTCAGGAATCTGTAGGGATGTAGAGACCTGCAAACATTTTCACTGATTTCTCCATGTCTAGGTCTCAGAGCTCACCCAT